ACTGGACAAAAGTAGGACTTCAAAATGTAAAGTTCATAGGTAAGGAGGTAATTTCTTTAGGCCGTGCACAGAAAACAGTACGAATAACTCTGATTAATTCTCAAGGTAGTTAACTGAAGAACTATTCTGCATTGAACAACCCACAGATATAAGAATTCCTTTGGTTCTAATGAATAATTTAGCATGAACTCCTTTTATCTGAAGAATACCTTACTTACTATAATGTTAATTTAATTAGTATAACTTTGCTGTCGCCTACATAAGATATGTTTGTGCTCCCTTACGATATGCTATTTCCATCAACATTAATTATATCATTGTGATATTCCTTTTCCAGTTCTAAACATCTAGTAAGACCTGTACTACTACATTATATTTAATGGGAATGTGGTGGTCGTTGCTTAGGCAACAAGATGAAGAAATGCAGGTCAGAATGTACTTCCAGAAAAGCAAAAGCAGGAATATGGTACAAAATGAAGAACAAATATGTTTAACGGATTTTTTGTTGCATTAAAATAATAGCATCTGTCAATGGGAAACAGCCAAGCTATTTTATCCAAATCTGTAATTCATAAATTACTTTTATATAAAAGAGACAAATAAGCAAACAACTTTCATGAAAGCAAAAGCATTCTTCTTTAATAAGAATATAACATAGTGCATTTAAATTAGATACCTGATTTTTCCTTTTAGCATCTAAAATTTTGATATCTATATACCAAATTTATTTTATTTTCTGATTTTTGGCTAGAAAGGAACACATTCCTTTGAACATTTTTTGAATTACTTCATGCAAATTACTTCATTACTCCTTTTGGAAAGGAACATTCCAGTGAACATTTTGTTGAATTACTTCATACAAGGCTTGCTACATTATGCTGATGTGTGTAAATAATTTTATATATTATTATTGGTATAGTTTTCTGGTTACTATCTGATGTAGTATGAATATCAAATTTCCCAGATTATAAACTACACTCTATAATAATACTGTACGTTGTAAAATGTTTAATTCATTATTTTATCACTGTTACTGTTTATTACTACATCAATATTTTATTACTACAATTTTTCTCACTCTTTGTCTAAACATTAGATTCAGTATAAGGTTCTAATTTCCCATTCAAATGCCTGTAACCCTAATTAATATGGGGAAATTGGGCACTTTATGGTGATTGATATTCAAGAAGAAACTAAATCAGACACGAACTAGACCAAGCTGAGCAGGAAGCTGTAGGTACAAGACAAGTGCACAGCCAGAGCTTAACCCCTAAGGTATCTGAAAGAGTTTGGTCTGGATATTTATCAAAAGAGCTTTGTATTGAAATACATACATACACCTAAGTATGTCAGTGAGAGACTTGGGTCTCCTAGGTTGATTCTTTACCTCATACAGCATTTGCTATGCTACCTACTTCTCTTATGTCCTCTTCTGAAGAGTTTCTCTTTTGTAATCTTTTTATGACTGAATACTCCTTTACTTATGTAACTCTAAAGCTGTAGTCTATGAAAGGTACCAATAGTTGATTATTTATTTATTTTTGCCTAGAATGACTTGACATCTACTTTAAAACTTATACTGAGTGGCTGGAACCTGCAGGTTAAATAGTGGGGTTTTTTCCCTGCTAAAGTCTTGTTTTAGGATTTTTAAATTAAGAATATTTAAAAGGGTAACAGTTGAAAATATCACACAGCAGCTATACAAGAAAAATGCAAAATATTCATACGTGAAAATAAAAATAAATAGATCTTTCACAATTTTCTGATCAGTAGTCATTGCCTGTACATTATTATTAGAAAAATAACTTGAAATGGCTAACTATAACTGAGATGCTGGTTTTGTCAATTTGTGCATCTAATATAGTATGTGCTATGTATGTGTATATAAATACACACACAGAGCATATATAGCAGTTTGCTACTGTTGATTATTATAGTAGCATTAAAGCTGTACAAGGATTCAAATATTTATAAATACCTTAATTCATGGATAATAAAAATTACTTTTCTATCTTATAACAATGTGATTATTTTTTTTTTTACTACATTTATAATGTCTTGAACACTGGAACAGGTAAAAACAGGTCTATACAGCGTGTTAGCTTTTCCTTTACTGCCAGCATTCATTTCAGAATAAAGTGTGTATACATCATATTTAAAGGCACTTCATTCCTCCTGGGCATATCCAAATTACTGAGGTGTCTTAAATACTTTGGTCCATTTGTTGGTATATACTAAATATTTAGTTTAACTAGGAAAGTGGTAAGCAACCTTTCAAAGGATTAGTATTGTTTTCCTGTTCAAAGTGCAAGTTTCAATCAATGAATCCTATAAACTGATTACCTAAAGCACAAAAGCACTTTACTATAGAATCCAAAATTAGTTAGGAGTTGGACAAATTTAGGAAATAACTTTCCATAATTAAAATATATCTTAATATATCTATGTTGCGTTGTGTTATTTAACTATCATCTTGGTAGTAATGTTTAAATAAAAGTAATAGCATGTGATGTGCGGCAGACAGGGGTGTGGCCAGCCTTTCTGTACACTGGAATTGCCCCCTCCCAAGGATGGTCTAGAAGTACTGTGGATTTCTACTTAAAAACAAAACAAACCTGGAGATTGATATGGGGAGGGAAAGAACCATAATGCCCGATTTCTCTTTGCCATGTCCCTGGCTATAGATAGTATTTTGTCAACATGTATATATTTTGTAACTTTATCGTACGGATATTTTACATATTTATTAAGCTATATGTAGAAAAGTGAAGCACTAACAGCAACACAGAATAGCTCTAAGCTATTTAAGATCACAGAAGAGACAGACAAAAAAGCAGCTACAGTGTCTATAGACAGCTATATACAGAAGGTTTCTTACCATAAATTGTACATTGTCAAATCCATTAGCCATCAAGTGGTTCTCATATTGAGGTAGCCCAATATTTTCCAACCATTGTCCCACTGTCTGAACAGGGCATCTGGGTCCTGTAAGAGGGTGAAGAGGGAGGCGTTTAAGCAACGAGTAGCCATCCACTGGATAATAGCGGTAGTCCTGGGCTGAGAGGTGGCATTGCCACATCGTGTTCCTGGGAAAGTTGTTATCAAAGGAGCCCGCCAGCTTGACAGATTAATGTTTTCAGCAAGAAAGAAAGTCAGAAGTAAAACATAGTTTACAGGGCAGCCTATAGAGTAAGATCTGATCCTAGCTCAACATTTCTTAGTTATTAATCTTTACTACAGACCAGTACGTCATACAGTGTAAAAAAAAAAAAAAAAAAAATATCAAGCTGTCAGCTAAGCTGTTCTCCGTTATATGTGATTGTTGGAATACTCCACAATGAGCAATGCACTGCCAGCAGCAAGAATTCTTTTTATCAAGTACTCCTACACTCATCAGTATGCAGCTCCATGCTCCTTGCTCCCCCTCGCTCGCTCCCCTTCATTACCCAGCCTAGGCTACACCTCGCATTTTCAATAATAGCCATCAGATAAGGCAGATTTTTTTTTGTCTGCAAGCTGTAAGCCTGCTGCTGCTGCTTCCTCCTACACACCCATCCAAGCGTCAATCTTGAATGATGAGAGCAGTCAAAACAAATGCAGAAAATAGCAAGATTCAAAAGCAAACTAAAGCGCTTAAATCTGAATAGAATCTTCATACCAGTTACGTATTACATATCTGCTTGTTGTAGATTTTTACGTTTCAGAAGACATCAGGAAATGCAAAGCATTAACCACAGCCTATACTACATGTTTCCTTCTTAATACAACATAGAAACTGGCTTGCAGTTCAACTAACATTATTCTGAAAATAATTCTCTAATGAATCAATAACAAATGAATGCATGTTACAGCATCTTTCCTGCAACACTGCAAAAGACACAAATTGAACAACAGCCTTTTAGTCAAAATAATTTGTTTATTACCTTTAGGATTTTTCAACCATAAAATACTATTAGACACAAGAAAACCTTCATTCTAATCTACTTATAATTCAGCTTGAAAAGGTCACCATTTCAAATGAACAGCTAACAGAATATTTTAACTAAATAAAATTCAAAGTTCAGATCTTTTCTTATAAAATGAATATCTGAATGATAGCAGGTAATTATTCTAGAGTTTCAATTAGTAGCAAAGAGGTGGTATATTTTCTTTGATTTGTAAGGAAAAAGGATCAGATACAAATGATAAAATGGATGGTAAAGTTATTTACCTGTACAATAACTGGTGTTTTGCAATGTGTATTGTCCACTGATATATTTTTAATGTCAGATCAGTGTTTTGGTCAACAGTGCTGGGGCTGCACCTGTGTCTTTGAGCTGCCTCTTACTCCACCCTGAGAGAATAAAGGGACTACAGCCCAACTGTGACTCCTCCACAGAATTAAAATGCTATAGGACTTTGGAGTAGAGGGAAAGAGGACGAGTTGTGGAATATATATATGGACAACACATCTCAAACTACTGTACAGATAAGTAATGTTTCTTCTTGGAGGGCTTGTCTATATATGTATTCTGGACTTTATGACTCATGAGCAGTGACCTGATCTAAGAAGAAGCATGCTCAAGGTGTAGCTGAAGAGTGACTATCATTCAGGTCTGCCAAAAGAAATATCTGACCTTGATGCCACTACAATGAACAGTATTTCTGTAAAAATATGAAATGACCCCCGAGTGTCTGTCTTCCAGGTGTCTACAATAGGATACTTTACAAGAAAGCTATAGAAACTGCTAAAGCCCTAGTGGAATTAGCTCTAAGGTAAGATGGGGTTTTGAAATTAATGCATCATAAGAGGCTGCAATACAAACTGAAATCTCTATAGCTAGTCTTTGGCTTGAAACACAAATGAAATCTCCTTCTCTAAAACTGCTGCAGAAAATCTTAGGGAGGCTCTGAAAAAATTAACTGTGTGAAAATAAAAGGTTGCATTTGGAGTATGCAACAACATTTCTTCCTTACATGAATAAGGTTTAGGAAAAAATATAGGTGAGTGGATTATTTGATTCACATGAACCTTTGTAATCAATTTACACAGAGATTTTGGATTGGGTGGGGTGGGGTGAGAAATACTTTATCAGACTACTAAACTATATAAAAAGGGCCTTCCACAAGAGTTTATGAGCATATCCAAAAAGGGATTCTCGATAAACAGGGGAAATAAGAAATAGGTTTCTATAGGTTCAGAAGGAAGGCTCATTAGGATTACACACAGAATAACACAACACTGAAGTCCTGTCACAGATTAATAGATAAATCTTAATAAATCTCTTCAAAATAACTACAAAGAAAAGTGAGACATCCATATATATCTTTTAATAAGAGGATGAAGCACTGAAATGTGTACCTTAGTCAAACTAATGGATAAACCCACATCTTTCAGAGGAAATAGGTATTCTAAAGTGGTAAGGCAATTGGTCTCATAGGCTACAAGTGTCTTTATTTACACCAATCAATAAATCTTTTCCATATACCTGTATAAAAGTCAGCTTAATGGAGTCTTGTCTTATGTGAATCCATTGTGACAATTTGAAGATGAACCTTCTAGATCTGACATCTATCCAGTAATCAGGCTGCAAGGTAGAGCAAAGATAGGTCCTGGCGAAGTATCCATGCCTTGAGTTGTGTTAGGCATGGTAAGGAGAGGCAAAGTCCTCAGGAAACAAACTGACAGCAGCATCAAATGTGAGTACCAGGACTGTCTTAGTCAGGAAGCAGCAATTAAGATGATCCTGTCTGTTTGTTTGGGGGGGTGGTGGCTGGGTTATTTTTTGTTTTGTTTTGGCAATATGGGAATTAAAGCATTTGGAGGCTATACCAACAATAGTTCTGTTGACCACAAAATTAAAAATTCTTTTGAAAGGGATTCTGGACTATGCCTTATCTCCTCCTCTTCCACAAACAGCCTGCAGTTTTTGTCTATCAGAAAGAACTACTGAAAGGTAATCTCATTCCTTGAAAACTTTATCTGTAACTGGTTTTCCATTCAAGCACAGACAAAAAATATCTGCAGCCTCATTGCTAAGATGTTTTGCAGACTTGGGAGGTGAATCACAGTAAGGAATATCCAGTGATAATTATACCACTTCCATAATTGAACTGCCTCCTGACATATTGGGGATGACCTTGCTCTTCCCTATCTGCTCACATAGATGAAGGCACTTATGTTGTCAGTTGTGATGTTAATTCACTGGTTCTGAACATGCTGAAGGAATGTATATGCAGATTTTGCAAACTTCTTTGAGTTCCAACACATGTGCAGCTGCCCGCCATTTTAGTAGCGTAGAGCCCAGTAATGATCTATCCATTCCACACAGTCGAAAAAGGTTGTACATATCACTATGATTCTTCATGGAAGAGGCAATGCCAAAGTTACTCCCTTACATATATGGCTGGAATCTTTCCTCCAATATTGGGGAATAAATATTGTTTGGCACAGTAGAAAAGGCATGTTTAAATGATATTGGCTCAGAATACAAACCAAGTTTAGTCAAACCAACGTACAACACAGGCATAATTTGGCAGGCTGCATGACAGAAAGATTCCATAAAGCTGAGGAGAATCAGGCATGCCTGTATTGTGGTGTTTAGATTTGGCTGAATCTGTTAAAGCAACGTGTTCTCAGTCTGGCAATAGCATAACCAGGGTAGGGAGATCAGGGCAACTGCCATAGGTGCCAGCAGAGAAAGATGGTTGCTGCCACAGCTGCATATCTATGACTGCACAGTGTGGAAGCTGCCCTGTGTGTGGCAGGTTCCCCCAGGGACCCAGCTGTGACATTACAGCTCTGGATGACACTTCTGCTGAATGACCAGGAAGCATAAATACTTCCTATATGCAAAATATTTCACAATATAGAAGCATGCCCTTGCAAGTCAATTCCATCTCTAGATTTTAAAAACTGGTTTGTAATTTGGTAAGCATCAACATTATAAACTTTATGCAATGAATGAACACTTTGAACCCTCTTTAACACAAAAGGAGACAACTTCCTTTTGTTTCTGATATCAAGAAGTAGCTGGAATAGAAGCCCCTTTCTTAAAATTGAAATGGATAATCTTTTATTCCAAGAAGTAGAAATAATTGCATTCCATGATATAGTAGTCTCTGAGGAGATGGGACGTTGCAGAGGGAAAGGGAAAAGGAGTGGATTTGGAATAGTGTGAATCTGATTGGAATATCTACATACAGGTCCCCAACAGATACGGCTGGCCAAAAGACTCTGATCTTGACAGCACAGGAAAAGGCATTCCAAGAGAGACCTATGCATATGAACAAGCACACAAAGAACTACATTACTCAAGTGTTTAGACTCTGACTTCCTTTCCTTCATTTATACAGGACTAGAAGGGGCCTCCTGGGCCACTGAATCAATTCCCAGGCAGGTGTGGGGGAGATTTGGGAGAAATGTTCAATCTTCTCATAGATTTGCATGGAATTTTGGAAAATCCAAGGGTCATCGAAAATCACAAATCCAAATCATACCCTATAACATATCATAAGAAAAAAGAGGAGGAAATGAGGGTAATGCCCTGCTACTGCAGTGATAAAGAAGTAGTTAGTTAATATAGGCCTAGAGGATCCTGGAAATAGGACCATGCCTGACCATGCAGAGGAAGGAAAAAACCTGCCAGTCCTTGCTAGTCTGACCTAAAGGAAAAATACTTTTTTGACCCCAGGTTTGGCAACTGGTATGATCCTGAATGAAAGAGTTTTCTAAGTACTGTCAGGAACATCAATGTGCTCCAATTACAAACCCACAGCCTCAGTTGTGGCCAACATCCCAAGGCTTTCAGAGGAAGATGAAAAAAAAATCTTAAGCATTCAAGACAGAGGGAAAAATAGAAAAATATCCTTACTGGCCCCTAACAAATAGATTACAACATTTTTTAAACATGGCATTATCAGACACTTGCCAAATCAGAAGGGTCTTACCTGTATACTCCAATTTAGGGATTGAAAATACATGATTCACATATCAAACATACTGA